AGTTCTTTTTACATTTTACTAATTCTCTATATTTTATTTATTGAAATTTCTCTAAAAAATGCATGATGTAATTTTTTAGCATTACATGACATATCATGTAATGCGTAGGCATTACATGTGCGTCAACATCAGATTGCTTCTGTCATTTGTATGACATAGGTCATGTAATGTGGTAGTTTAACATGACTTGCGTCACGTACTAGCATTAAAATTACCAAACGTGTGTCATGTAATGCAAAAAAAAACTTATAAAATATATGGATAATTTAATAATTTTTACAAAACAAATGGAAACTGAAGGCATATGTTTCCAACATTACATGATCAGGTCATTTAATATAGATGGATTTCATAGAACAGAGTATGTAATGCCAATGCATTACATGACGCGCATCTTTAGTAGTAGATTTCATTCAGAAAAACGAAAAACTATTTCAACATCAAATTTTTCTTAATTTATCATATTTTTAAGGTTTTCTAGCACATATTTTGTTAGGTATTCAATAAACAATGATGTTTTTGCTATTTTCTGTTACTTTTTTAATCAATTCTATGCATAATAGAGGAAAATTTTCTAAAATAAATTTGTAAACAATCTGAAAATGTTGGGTTATGTGTTTCTGGCATTTAAAGCAACGTTGCCAATGCTAAACCTAAATTTAGCGTGTTTTTTCGCTCATTCTGGCATTACGAAAGGCGGTCGCCAAAAGAACGGCTCCTTCCCATAACTGCTATTTTACCAACAAGATCTGACTCTTTATAACCACGAAGTTGCACGAAAGAGTTTTGATTGCATTGGTTCAACTTCCATGCGGAAGGGGTTAATCTTCTGTTGTTGTATTATACCAAGAAAAGATTAACACCCTCCACATAGAAGTTGAAACCAATGCAATCAAAACTCTTCCGTGTAACTTTGTGGATATAGGTAGGTATATTTAACTATTGTCAGATCTCATAATCTGTAATTTATTTAAAATGCCTAATCCCCGAAAAAATAGAAGATAGGTACGGCAACGTTGTAAATTTTCAAATTTCTAGATTAGGTCTAGAATATATTTGTCTCTCTCATTACATAGGAGAGAGAAAGAAGGATATATGAAATGTCAAACTTTCATCTGGTCTCAATTTTCTTTGTTATTTTGTTATTGATCAGATTGCTTCTGTCATTTGTATGACATAGGTCATGTAATGTGGTAGTTTAACATGACTTGCGTCACGTACTAGCATTAAAATTACCAAACGTGTGTCATGTAATGCAAAAAAAAACTTATAAAATATATGGATAATTTAATAATTTTTACAAAACAAATGGAAACTGAATTCAATGTTGAAATTATTTTCCGTTTTTCTGAGAAACGGTAAGAGACCGCCAAGAAAAAGTTCATATTCGTAAGCTACGACCTCAAAATAGGGATGTATACTAATTTTGGTGAAAATCGGACGATTTCAGTTTTCCCAATAATTACCAAAAGTTTTTTGTCAAGTAATTTCCATAAAGGTAATAGTTGATTTTTGACATTACATGACGCGTCATGTAATGTCTTAAATTCTCACAGTACGTTTCACGTAAAGACATTATTTGCATGATTCATGTCTCATGTAATGTCTGTCCTACCTGATGCATGTCATGTAATGCAAAAAATGTAAAAGGTACAAAAACTGAACATTAAAATTTAGGAAGAAATGCTTCCATTTTTATCTGTTCCAGATGAAAAAAATTTTCATGTTAGAGAAATGTTGACAACACGAAGTGACATTACAAATCTACTGACGTAACCGTATCCACGTCACTTAAAACGACTAACCGTCGGCGCTACGAACCGCTTCCCGATAAAACCGCACGCTGACGCCACCGCCTCCGGCTTAGTGGTAGTGCAACTCGAGCGTGTTGCACAACCAATCGGCAGGGGGGTGGGCCAAGCCTCACGCAATGCCGTGGCCTCCTTGTATTCCAGGCTCTCCATGGTGAAGAAGTCCTCAGCTTCCACTGGAGCGTTTCGAAGGTGGGCCGGCGCATCGGGTCCCTGTTCCAGCACTCGAGCATGATGTTGTAGAGGCTCTGGGGGCAGTTGGGCGGCGCGGGCATCCGGTGGCCGTGCTCGACCTGGTGCAGGACTTCGGCGTTCGTCATGCCTGGAATTGGAGATAAGAGCGCTATTTAAAACGATTTGACTTTGGTATAAGTGTAGCAGGATATTATGTGTACTCTAGAATTCGTGGTGGACAGTTTTGGCTACAGGGATTATCATATAAGTAATACTCCTATAAGGCTAGTGTATAATAATACAGGTCGCTGTTATGTATGGAAACGTCGATTATTAGGTAAAATATAAGAGGTACCGCAAAAAGTTAAATATAAAAGTTATAGGGTTTATAAATATCTATTAGCGGGTAATACATTTAAATATACAGGGTCGGTCATAAAGTCGTGGCACATCAGTTTCATTTTTTTAAATGGGAACTCCTGTATATTATTGCATATTTCGGTTCTTCCTTCAATTCTAAGCAAAAATCGAAATACATACAATGTACATCAAACCAACCGTTTCCGAGTTCTTGACTTTTGAAAATATCATTTAAACAATTTCATTTAATTAATTTCGTTAACGTAATTAGTTTCATTTAACGATGCCATTCTGCCGAAATTGTGATACTTAATAATATTTGACATTAGTTTTCAAGTTAGCATTTATAGATGTATAAAATGAGTATATCATGTCTGGAAATCACAAAATTTTCGATTAACATTTCAATTCTTCAATTTATGTACATTGTGTATTACATTAATTATTGTTAAAAATTGAAGGAAGAATTGAAATATGCAATAATATACAGGGGGTTTTATTAAAAAAAAGTTTGATGTGACACAACTTTATGACCGACCCTGTATACTTAAATTTACTAGTAGCTAATAGGGATTTAAAAACTCATTACAACAGTATCACAGTTTAAGTCAATAACTCGGAAACAGTTGGTTCAAGGTACCTTTGCGATAAAAAAAGTACAACAAAATATTATTTAATCTGCTGGTCTATAGTCTTGTGTCACGTAATTTTTAAAAAATGCCTTTAATTTCAGAGCAAAAATCGATTATATTTACGCGATTAAGGGATGGGGTTCCCATAAGAGACATTGCAGATGCATTCGGGATAAACAAAAAAAACAGTGTTGTTGGCTAAATCCAAAAAATCCAATATAATTCAAATATCCTTATAGACCAGGAGTTCTATCTGGGACTAGTAATTCTTGTACTACTTTTTTTATCGCAATGGTACATTGTGTGTAATTTAATTTTTGTTTAGAATTGAAGGAAGAATTAAAATATATGTAATAATATACGCAGTGGGTTCTATTTAAAAAATGAAACTTTGATGTGCCACGATTTTATTACCGACCCTTTATACTTAAATCTATTACTCGCTAATAGATATTTAAAAATTCTATAACTTTTGTATTTAACTTTTGCGGTACCTCCTATATTTTACCTAATATAATCGGCCGTTTCAGTTACAGCGACCCTGTATACAGGTTGTTAACTGCACAGTTACTTTATAGGGGGAAACAGAAACAAATAAGGTCTACATAAAAAAATTTCGATCAACTATCTGTGTCAAATACCCCACTGTGTGTCGTCGCGTCGTCTATCGACGAGCGGGCCGAGGTTGCCATATTTCAACCATAAAGCTCTTGCCGCGAGTAATAAACAAATTAACAACCTGTATAAGACAATTTGTTTGCCAAGACCGTGAAATAGAGCAAGAGAGACACTGGGTGCATTCGGGAGACGTAGCGGTATTTTGAATTTACCAATACATTCTCTGACCACGATTTCTCGTTTACAAAAATGGTAACTGCTCCAGAACATATTGTTACGGATTCCGTGGGTCTACTAATTTAAACTCACGATAAAATACTTAACGAATTTATTTTTCTCTTAATTTACACACAATTTATAACACACAATTAACTACTTATAAATATCCTTCGCCAAATTGTCCGATTCAACAAACAACAAACAAACAACGAACTCTTTCTCGAACCTTCTAAGATTCAATTCAATTTCTCGAACCTTCTAAGATCGTCCGAGAGCGTTCTACTTCCTACTGGAAAATTCCACCGCTGCTCGATTCGCTTTTGCACTTAGTTAAGAGATGGCGCTTCAACAAAAACGTCTTTCACTTTTTGGTGAATTCGCCATGTTTCTTGACACGTAGGCAACCAGCAATACAGTTTAGCGCCACATACAATATTAACAATAATTACCTTAACAATATTCATATTCAATATTTATTTTTTTTATTATATTACCTTAACAATATTCACAAGGTAGCAGTGTCGAAACAAAGGTCGGAACGTATCCTGGTATCGTGCAACAGACGTTTTGAGAACTGTGACGGAACTGTTACGTCTCCCGAATGCAACCATTGTATTGTATATAACATATACTAGTATTGGGCGTTTTTATCGCTGTATTAAAAACATCGATATTTCGCCAGTAATGTTGAAGTTTTTTAACATTTGTGTTAATGTTTAACGGTCCAATACATCGATATGCAGCCGTTAATAATTTCGATGTCAAATTCTAATTTTAAAACAATAACATTATGTAGATGTATTGTCATAAAACTTATTTTTAACACAAATATTTTAAACTCTATTGAGAAAATAGAAAAGTTATTATTTTACACTTTACAGTAATAGGCTGCAACTGAGTAATCTATGGGTATTATTTAAAATCTATGATCTGTGAGGTCAACATCGATGTTTCGCGGCGATGTCCCCTCACTACTGTAACGAAACAGCGTCGGCGACACCTTTCTACACTTGATGCTGTATATAAAAAAAATTACCATAAGACCTGAGTATATAAATAACTGAATAAAGCATTGTTTATAGCATTACGCATGTTGCTGTCACACTCTGTTGGCAGATGCTTAGTCATTATTAGCCCTTTAGGAGTATTGCTTACGTGAGAATTATTGTACAACAATGGAACTTACCTGGATATGGAATTCTGCCATGCGTTACCAGTTCTGTTAGTAAAATACCGAACGACCAAACGTCGGATTTAATCGAGAATTTGCTGTAATTGGCCGCCTCTGGAGCCGTCCATTTTATGGGGAATCTCGCACCGACCCTAGCTTCGTATTCATCTTCCTGTAAAAACAATTTTTATTTTGAATATTGTCAATACTTCAATTTAGAAGAAATTAGTTGAATATAATTATTTCTTTAAATTAATATGAAAACATGGGTTCCTCGCTCTCTCGATAGCGAATATATATGAAATGGTTCGAGACCAAAGCTATTAGCAGCGCAGTGGTTAAACCGAAAATCTGGCTTCGATATGTTGATTATACCTTTATAATCTAGAATGGAACCGATAGACAGTTGGATTCCTTTCTCAATCATCTTAATTCACGAAATAACTCAATCAGATTCACGACAGAGAAAGAGAAAAACTTCTGTCTACCGTTTCTGGATGTGTTCTTGTCAGTAGAAGCGATGGATCCATTAGCACTGTTGTATACAGAAAACCCCACATAAACTGGACAATATTTAAATTCCCAGTCGAACCATTCTCAAGCAATCAAGAGGTACAGTTCACAGAGCAATCACTATAAGCAGTAATTAAGTCTTTCGTCTGAATTCTGAACTAAGTAATATTAAAACCGATTTGCTTCAGAATGGTTACTCTGCAAAATCCCTAGACAATATTATATCCAATTGCAAGTAGCAACGCGGCGCCTGGGATAAGCTGAAATCCGATTGATACGTAATTCTCAAAAAGTGTATGTGTTTGTTTTATATAATAAATAACAGTTTTCTTACTTTTATTAATCGAGCCAGACCGAAATCGGCGATCTTCACGTCGTTAGCTTCGGCTACGAGGACGTTCCTGGCGGCTAGATCCCTGTGGATGTAGTTCTGCGACTCTAAGTAGGCCATGCCGGCCGCTATCTGTGCGGCCATATCGATGAGCGGTTGCAATTTAAGGCCTAAGAAAGAAGACATTATTTAGTTAAGTTATAAAAAACAAAGTATAGTCTATAAAATGAATAACTTTGAATTTTGACCGTTATTTTTTACCAACATGGCAAATATAAAATCCTTCTGTCAAAAAAGTTACTGATATTCTTTGAATTGAGTGCCTGAACGAATCAGATAGGTAACTCTTTTTACTTTCGTGAAATAGAAAAGGAAAACAATAAAACAAGTGACAGTTCTTCCTCTTCTTGCAAAAATCAACACGAAATGTCATAATTGACAAAAGTAAAATGTCATCAGCTTTTGACATTTCTAAATATTAGACCAATGCCGTCTCTAATAGAACAGCCACGGAGCGAGGTTTATGACGTCACGCTAGTTAGATACTACGGATTAATAAATATGTTGTAGAATACATGGAAAACATAATTATTCCTCGTATTTTTGGTTTGTATTTTAAAAATGACATAGTTTACATGAAATATACATAATATACAGTTAATAAATACAATGTAATATATACATATTTATAGTAATAAATACTTTGGCAAATAAACTATGAACCATACAAATGCAGCAAATGTTTTACAATATACAAATAATGAATAGGTGGTCATAAGATAATGGGTAAAATGTTAAATATATTTTAAATTTTAGGGTTTGAAAATCGATCTTTAACATTCAATATCGATAGTGATGTATTATTATTTGCAATCACAAAATTTATTTATATATTATAATGTTTACTGCAATTAATAAACTAATATAAACTTGTCAAAAGATGACCACATATTTTTTTAAATTATTATTTTTAACACAAAAACTATCTACATTGACTATGGAGTACGATTTCAGCCATATTGTAAAACATTTGCTGCATTTGTATGGTTTATAGTTTATCTGCCAAAGTATTTATTACTATAAATAGGTATATATATATATATATATATATATATATATATATATATATATATATATATATATATATATATATATATATATATATATATATATATTGTATTTATTAACTGTATATTATGTATATTTCCTGTAAACTATATCATTTTTAAAATACAAACCAAAAATACGCGGAATAATTATGTTTTCCATGTATTCTACAACATATTTATTAATCCGTAGTATCTAACTAGCGTGACGTCATAAATCTCGCTCTGAGGCTGTTCTATTAGAGACGGCATTGCGTCAGCATGGCCGCAAGTTGATAACCTAATAAAATTAACACTAGAAAAGCCCGCGGGAACTGTCAAATTCAAAGTTATTCGTTTTACAGACTATACCAGCAGTTATTTTTTAAAATTCTCTGGTTTGGCATAATATAAACATAATATGTTTGATTAATATTTTTCAGACAACGTTGTGCTTAAACAGAGAAGCAGTATGAGGTTGCATTACGATTCCTCTTTATAATATTTAAGGGTGGGCTAATATTTTATTATTTTTTCCCATAGCAACTGTTAAAATTGCCTTATATCTATCAAAAATAGTAGATAAAATAGTACTTTAACCGCAAGGGTAGATTAAATGATACTTTAACAGCGAGGATAGGTTAAAAACTTTATTTCTTCTCGCACGTTTTTTAATTGATTACATTTTTGAAAATTTTTGTATTCCTTTTCATAAGTTATTCGGGATTTAAATGGAAGTAGTTTGGATATGGCGTTGTCGCCTCAGCCTGAATATCTGTTGGTAATTTACTTATTTCGTTTTGAGCCATTTCTGGCTCCAATTCAATCAGCAATCGACACGGAAGAGAATCAAAAATATTGACTCAAAACTGACAACTAAAGACACAGCTTTATATATTTGTGAAATTACATAGAAACCAACGCCAACCCAGCACAATATTTTTTCTACTCGTAATAAATTTCTTGAAATAATAATTTCTGAATATTTTTTAAAACGTAACGCGCTATGGAAAAAAATATTGTTTTATACACGACGATAAAATTGCATTATCGTCTCCCGAAATTAATCTTTTCGGTCTTCGATAAAATACCATTTTATCGTCTTGTATAAAAAATAACTAAAATCTATCTTAAATTTTATTTAATGGTGTGCTCTACCACAACTTTAAGTAGGTATCCAATAAAAACCTCAAGTATACCTTTGCCTTTTCCTTGTAGAAACTCTAATAGAGATCCGTTTCTCATTAATTCTGTTATAATGTATATCGGTTCTTCGATCGTACACACTGCGTAGAGCTGTATCAACTTCAGATGGCGTAGTTTTTTCATTATTTGAGCTTCGGCAAGGAAATCCTATTAAAAGAAATAATATAGTAATTAAATCGGCAAATAAAATTAACTAGACACTACAAAGAAATGGTAATAATACATTAAGGTAATAATTTATTATAAATTATCTCTTAAATTAAAAAAAAATCTAGGGCGGTATTTAAAAAAAAAGGAAAGTTGATGATAAAAAACTAATAGCCTAAGAAAATTCAAAAACGAAGTTTTGATAAAAACTTGAATTTTTGATATGAGTTACTTATTTACTTTATCAAAAACGAATTGTGAAAGATTTTTTTAATTCACCCCCGAGAAGGGGTGAAATTAATAAATAAAATTATTTTTTCGAAATTTCGAAGAAACGGTAAGGACTGGAAAAAAAGTTCAAATAAAAGTTTCCAACTGTCCAATTTACATAAAAAGGACATAAAAATTGTCTTTGTACTTTTCTTGCTGAATCAAAATTAGCCGAGATAGGGTGGCTAGAAGCTAGGGGACAGTTTTTATTGAAACACTTTTTTCCTTAAAAAAAGTCCTTACCGTTTCTCTGAAATTTGGAAAAAAACTTTAACACTTAAACACTTATTTTTCACCCTTTCTTGGGGTGAAAATTTTTTTAATTTTACAAAGAAATTGAATAAAAATGTTAAATACATTAATTTTTCAGCAATTTATATTTTTTTTAGTTTCTAGCTACCCTATTTCGGTTAATTTTGATCTGAGCACAAAAAGAATAAAGATCATTTCTATGTAAAATTTAATGCTCTATAACTTTTATTTAAACTTTTTTTTATAGTACTTAAAATAATTTTATTTATTTATTTCACCTCGTTTCGAATTTAAAAAAATCTTTCACAATTCGTTTTTAGATCTTTCAAAGTAACTTATATCAAAAATTCAAGTTTTTACCCAAACTTCGTATTTAAAAGCCTATTTTCTTGGACTATCAAAAAAAAATCGCAAATAGTCGTTTTTTTTTCAAAAATCTTCGGAAGTATTCGAAATTTTTTAAACTTTTTAGGTGGCATTTTGATCACCATCAAATTGCACAACTTGCCTCCATTTAACCGACCTCGTGTATCTCTTCTAGTTACCGAGATCTCTAGTTTGTAAAATCCCAATGATGATTCTCTAATTTGAGACACCCTGTACAGAGTGTCGCATTTTTTTACAAATGATTGAGTATTTCGCTTATTAGTAAAGGTGGAACCTTGTAGTTTTCATAAACCCGAGATATTTTTTGTCAAACGAAAGATGCCTCAAACAACTTGTCATGGCCTCCTTAGTTGTCATGATACAGGGTGATTTGAAATGTTTGCAATTTTAGGTAGCATACGTATCACGGTTGTCTAACGGCTTATCAAAAAAGTAAATACGGATTCTTATAGGACATTTTACACGGAATCTAGTGAATATAAAAAGGTGTAGATAAAAGAGACTGTACCATCGCGGTGTTAATAATAATATTTAATAGGAACGTACCTTAGGATCCATGGTGCCTGGTTTGAGGGTCTTGATGGCCACCGGAGTGGTATTGTTCCACATGCCTTCCCACACCTCTCCGAACTGACCTTGACCCAATTTCCTGATGAATTTCAGGGACGTCCTCTCGATCTCCCATTGGTCGCGAGTTCGGTACGACAAACCGTCGATCTGCGGTTTTCCCACCTACAAATAACAAATAAAGCGTTATTAGTGGAAGTTCATTTAACTCAAATAATATGATTTAATCAACCTTGCGTCCCAGAAAATATTACATATTTATTTTATTTATTTCCTACTGAATTAATATAAGGTTATATCGTCTTATACCCATAAATAGAGTCATAACACAGGGGCATTATTAACGGGAATTAAGAAGCCATAATTCCCTCTACCTTTTTGTAGTTTTACCCACCCTCTACAACCATGAAATACAATAGAGATTTCATACGCACATCTAACTACTGTAATAATTTATTTACGTCATTAATCTGACATGTAATAAATTTGCCAAAGAATAGTTTCATCGACATCCCCTGCTACAATATTTTTTTGTCCCATCCACTGAAGGTATTTTTATATCCCTCTTGGTAAATGGATTCACTTTTCGAAGTAAAGCTTGTCGTGATTCTTTAGCTTTTTTTAATATTTCGTCCATTTCAATGGAAAGCACAAAACATCCCCCTTTAGAACATTTTCTGTAATGGCAATGACTGGAAGTAAAAGTTATGCTGTGCGAACAAAGACTAGAGGCACTGCTGGTCATTAAAAAATTATCAAATATTCATTTGCTTTTATATGTCAATATTTTTATTTCGTTGTGTTTTGTGAACGGTTGTTCGTAGCAATTTTTACCAAGAGACATTTTTTACGTAAAAAGTCATGCAAATGTATATTTTTACACTCAGTAGTTTTATACAGGTAGGGACGAGAAAAGTTATTACTTTTCAGAACAGTTAAAACCTTTGAATAAGAAGACTAAGGAAGGAGCATATCAAAAATCTTAGGTACACCGCGATGGGCCTCAAATATGGCCGACTTAAATTCCGGTTTATCAGTGTCGTTCTAATTTTATTTAAAAAATGTAAAACTATGATGTAGGGTAGACGTGGGGTAGACTCAATAATTTGCTGTTTTATTTTACGTTGTGAATAAATGTTGGTAGTTATTAAAATTGTTATAAAAATATATAATTCTAATAAAAATAGATAAGTTATAATAAGTATTTATTAACACAAACATACGATACGCTACTGAAGCAGGTAAGTCAAATTAACGTATCTAAATTCTTTGACATCTAATCTTTGACAAGTAATAAATAAAAGCTAAAATGCAAGAAAAATATATAATTTAGTTAATTTAAGTGAATTTCATAAATGATCGGTTTACAACACGTATGTATATTATATAGTCACTTACTAGCGAAAAGTTGTTCCATTATTTCACTCAGTTTTTGCCGAGATCTACCGCACGCTACACAACCAACTACTTTAGAGTCTTTTTCGATAAATCGCGATAGTGTCACTGGTAATTTAAGTTCTGCCACAATTTCCATCTAGATTTACTATCTTTATACAACTATCAGTAGTAGAATAAATAATAAATAACATAAAATAAGCTCCGTAAAGACTGACAAATCCACAAAATTTCAAATCAAATTCAAATGTGTCAAATGAATCGTCAAACAGAACTGTCAAGAATCCCCACCCTAGAGTCCTTTTTCCGCCCACCATGCAAAAATACATGGATAGAACTATGCTCCTTCCTTAGTCTTCTTATTCAAAGGTTAAAACACATGTAGGTGGCGCCCTCTACACATAGGAGTCATATTGACATCAAAATCAAATTTCTCTCAGACACCAATTTTCATCCAAATATTGACGTTACTTCACCAATTATTTGGAAAAAATCGAAATAAAAATGAAACTTCTATACCCTGCATCTCGGAAACTAACCATTTCAGGACATACATTTATACGAACTTTTTTACTTATTTTAAGTTTCCGGAATACAGTTAGGACCACCCTGCATAATGTTATTTTAATATACCTATTTCGTTGCAATTAAAAAAATGTTTCTGTAATATTAAAAAAAAAATAAATTAAATATAGGGATCGATATTTCTTGAATTTTTGTATTCCTTTTAAATGAATCCTTGCCCTTGGTAATTTAATACCTTTATAATTTCCTTGATACATAAATAACTATTACAGTCTTGAGAACTCCCTTAAAATTTTTAGGTGATCCACCGTTTTACCTGACATGCAAAACTGACAGGTAAAACGTTACGTGTAGACGAGACTTTATAAAGGGCGGAAATAATATATTCCCCTCCTGTTATTTGAATTTTGCATTGTTGTAAGTTCTATTGAAGAAAAATTCCTTTTTATTTAAATGAAAAATTTAGTTTTTCTATTATACTAAAAAAAAGATTAATATTAAAATAAATTCCTCAAACATTTCGGGGAATAGGTAATATTCTCTATTAAAAAATAATCAAATGAAAAGGAAATGTGATACGAATGGAATGCATACAATTTCCTGACGTCACTGTATTATTTAATTAGACCATTTAAGTAATATAAACAGATTTTGTATGATATTTTATGTTAGAACGTGACTTTGAAATAATATTTCTTCCCCTAAATTAACACTGGAAGATTTTAAAACAATTTCTTTTATAAAATAATTAAAATGTATTAATCAATGAAGACCTAAAATTACCCTTAAAGACTTATTACCCTTTTAAGACATTAAAGCCGCCTCTACACCTGCCGTTTTACCCATCAGTTTTCGTGTCAGGTAAAACGGAAAACTGTCTAATTGACACAGTTCTCAAGAGGGTCGTTCGACTAGTCTAGGGTTGGCATCCGTCCTCTATTCCAGAGGACAGTCCCCTTTTTGATCGTACTGTCTTCCTCTTTTTCTCATTTATTGAAAAAGTCTTTCTGTTTACACACCAAACATATAAAAAAATAATCGTCTATCGCCAAAATGCTTAATAAAATTGTTAGTTGAGCAATGTGTCTTTTGCTACTCCCACTCATATAGAAAAGAAATATTTATGTAGGTACAAGAAATATTGGGTGGAAGCGATGTATGTATAACTTTTTTATGTTTACTTATTGTTAGGTTATGTTTTGATATAAAAAGTTTTGTAGAAAAACGTTTTTTTTTAAGTTTTGAGTAGTATAAATCTTTTTAGGAAAGTCAGTTATCTAGATGGCGTTCATTCTGTCTAAATTCAGTTCAAGTAAAAACAATCCTTTTTTTGTTTACACACGAGATTGATTAACTGAACATGTAAGACTGAGAGGTAAAACTTTATGTATAGACGGAGCTTAAGGTATAGTCAAAAGGTTTTAAAGTAGGTTTATAGAGTAGGCTAGGTATCATTGTTTATTATTGTAATAATAGTTAAATAAAAACTATTTAATTTTTCGGCCATTTTTTTGTCACAAATCTTTTTGGTCCCACAGTATATTAAGTCAAAAAATCAGTAAGAATGAAAATACGTTGTAAAAAATAACTCTCTCTAACTAGATATTTATTTAATCAAAATTGACTTTGGAACATTATTATTTTTAGACATTTTATCTCTCTTAGCATTCCAGAACAAGTCATTATTAAAAACATATTAGAAGGTGAATCCACTGATTAAAACGTTTTAACGTTTCGAAAACCATGTTATTCAAATTTATTTATTGTTATTTAAAATTTATTAAAATTTTAAATTTTGTCATATTAATTACTAATTTTAATTTTATTTCTACATATAAATAATTTTCCTTATTGAAATAAGCAATATAAAAAGGCATGCTTAGAAAAACATTTATAAAGTAAAAAATAACAACATTTAGATAATAATAAAATTAACAATTAATTTAAAACTATTTAACATAATAAGAAAAAAGCCTGAAAGAATTTAAGTTACACTTTGTAATGTATGATAACCATTTAAAAGATGAATATTGTTCTTATTTTTTTTAAGAATTTTGATTTAAATGTTATTTACGCGCCTACTATAATGTTATTTTAATTCGATTTTACGGTCTAATGACTTAATATACAGGATGTAAGAGTGTCCCAAATAAGTAAAAAATATTAGTTTTATTTTTTTAAATGGAACACCCTGTATATTATTCTATTTTTAATTACAAACTTAATTGTTTTAATTAATAAATTATTCTAAATAAATGTGGATTCGACTCAGAAATCAATATAATAAGTTATGAAAATAAACGACTCAATTGTTATAAATAAGCATCCGTCAAAAAAATAAAGAAAATTTATAAGGTGTTACTTTTTACCACACTGTCTATTACACACACAAAATTCATATTTTTAGTGTTTGGGGCAATTATGTATTATTAATCCTCGTAAACAGTCAATTAATATATTGTAATTTGAATACTGGCATTATATTAATTGGTCCTCTTTAAGAAAAAATATTTAAAGTTTTTTTTTATTTAATTGTATAATGCAATTTGATAGACGATTAAATTGTGCAGCTGATTCTCGTAAAATATACAGGGTGTCTCTGTATATTAATAATAACTATAGTATTTTTTACTTATTTGGGACACTCTGTATCTTGTAAATTTATTTTTAAATTGTAGCTCTAATAGTCGTTTAACCGAAACGTCGTTTAGTCGAGCCCAAAACTTACAATTTGTAAAAATCTAATCGTTTAGCTATAATACTCCGTGTCGTATGTGGTGAACAACCCTGTATATGAAGCCATTAATATTTTGTGTGGTAAAAATATATTCTAAATGTAACTTAAAAGCCTTCTAATTTACGTAAAACATACCTCTGTGTCGCAAGGAATCTTGCGAGAGCAAAAAGAATAAAAAAGTATATATTAGTATTTTCTAAGCAAAAACGAGAAAATTTTTTGTCTGAACTAAGGAAAATAAACAAAATCGCCAATAATAAGAAAACAGAAATAAGGTTTTGTACAGTTTTCATCTGTTATCGTGCCAATATATACTATGTGTCCAAGAATATTGGCTACATATGAAAAAAACTATGTTTCTCAGAAATATTTATTCTCTATAAAAGTACCTGCATCCCAGATCGTAGTACAGGGGTGCCCGGGGGTGCCCTCCCCCTTCCAGGTACTGCTGGTCACCCACCAGAGAAATCTTGAATTATGACTCTTGGCTACGTATTAATTTTTATTTGCTTGTGATGTACTAAAAATGACGTTTTCTAGTTTTGTTTAGGTAAGATTATTTTATTGTGTTCAAAAAATGTGTTAATTTTTATTTTTTTAGAAAATTTGTAGGTATTTAAGTAATATACGGGAACACGGTTTGATAACCAAGTCTATGAATGTACTGATAGAGAAATTCATGTAAACGTTTTATTCCAAAAACCTGTTTTTTTAAATTATTCTTCATTTTTTAAAAAACAAAAGACCTAGACCTTTTCTAGATTTAATTGTCTAAATTCCCTGCATAATAAATATTAGTCGAATGGATTTATATCAAACCATCCTGGGTGCTAATAAAAGTATCGTTTGCAGATTTTTCTTAAGAACAATAAAAGAACATTGCTTTTAACTAATGTGCGTGGACCAGACTTTTGTTGACATCGAGTCAATTAATAATTTTCATAAGTGGATATATTGATAATGTTACCAGTATTACTCATCAAGCAATACTACTGTTATATTAATCAATTAAGGCCGTAAACAAACATATCATATTCAATTTTATATACTAATTTATTATAATAAAATTAAATCATAAAAATATTGTAATTATATTCCTGCAGTTTAAGTGAAAAGTTTTGTTCCTAAATATCTACTATACATAATAAACGCGCGTTCAAATATTAATTCTGTAGAATATACAGGGTGTTTCAAAACAAATGCGAAAAACTTCAGGGGGTGATTCCTTGTTCAAAATAAAGGGTAGTTTGCTTCATAAATGTTGGGTCAAAAGTCAACCATTAGGGAGATATCGCGGTACAAAGATGGCGGAAAAATAATGTTCTTATTTCTTATCTTGAAAACGAAAAGAGATAGACTAATGAAATTTTATGGAAGCATTACTGTTATGAAAACACACTTTCTGGTAATTTTTTCACTTTATTAAAATGAGTAGAAGGGGTTGAAATAAACTACCCCTATCATTCTTGTTAACGAAATTTAAAGAAAAATCTTATCAAACACATGCAAAAAAATTAATTTGGATAGTTTAGTTTGTTTAGAAACTTTTTTATCTCTTGTAATTTTTTTATAACTCACCGATTTGAAATTAAAAAATAAAATGTAAAGCATTACATGTCAGGACTAAAAATATTTTTAGATTAAGAATCTAGTGATAATAATGATAATAATTATAATCTAGATAATAACGTATTGCAGTAGGGTAATGTCAAATAAAACAATATTAGAAACATCCTAAAAAGTGACAGCGGCCGACTAGACTTTTTCCTAAAAAAATTACAGCTGCCCACTAGATTCTTTATCTAAAAATGTTTTTTGTCCTGACATGTAATGCTTTACATTTTATTTTTTAATTTCAAATCGGTGAGTTTTATCAAAAAAACACAAGAGATAAAAAAGTTTCTAAATAAACTGAACTATCAAAATTATTTTTTTTTGCATGTGTTTGATAAGATTTTTCTTTAAATTTCATTAACAAGAATGATAGGGGTAGTTTATTTCAACCCCTTCCACTCATTTTAAAAAATTACCAGAAAGTGTGTTTTCATAACAGTAATGCTTCCGTAAAATTTCATTAGTCTATCTCTTTTCGTTTTCAAGATAAAAAATAAAAACATTATTTTTCCGCCATCTTTGTACCGCGATATCTCCCTAATGGTTGACTTTTGACCCAACGTTTATAAAGCAAACTACCCTTTATTTTGAACAAGGAATCACCCCTGAAGTTTTTCGCATTTGTTTTGAAACACCCTGTATATATCAATAAAGATAAAACTAGATGTAATTAACGAAATATCATCGTAACAACAGCTATTTTAGAAACGTCTACGTTTACTTATTTCACTGAGATTTATGAAAAAAAATCCTTTGCCTCCGGTACAGATACCGCGACGTTTTGAAAATCAATTGGAAAGCTCAAAACAAAACAAAATTGAACGAGGCAACAAAAAACGCCAAAAAAATCCCCCCTCGCCCTCCTCGCGAGTAGTTTTCAGGCGCATTTAAAAATCGAAAGTAGGTCTGTCTTTGTCTTCGGCAAACCGAAGTGGGTCAAGACAATTGGAAATAAATCGAAATGCTTTCAAAGTTGGGCGACGAAATGCGACCTTGATATGTTTCGAATTGTTTCTGGAATTGTGTGTGCACGCTGTTTTATAATTTTTACGGAATGCAGATACTTTTATAGAGAATAAAAAAATATAAATGCGACCCGTGTTCAAAGACACATTGTATAAATATATCATTACCTACCTGTACACAAGGCTTGCAAAGATTGACGCACAGGCCGTCGGCGATGTCGCTATAGTGTTGGACTAGCTCTTGCAGTGTACGGAAGGTCGTTCTTCGGGCGATGAAAAATCCACCCTCGTCTAACTGTCGTATTCTGTAGTGTTTAACAGTGTCTCCATCTCTTACTGCAAAAAGAAAATACTTATTAGAACCACACAGGGTTAAACAAAAAAGGATACTTCATATTTTCTGGGCGTAACGGCGTAACCACGGTGAACGTGGACCAGTTATACTCTGTTAGCAGTTATAGCTGGCAAGCTGGCTGACTTTCAAATTCAAATCAATATTTAATTGAACAGAAGTGTTAAGACTAATGGCGGGTTTATACAACATTGTCGTAATCGTAATCATAATCATAATTTTAGTCTTAAGCATAAGCACAGTCAAAATCACAATTTTAATATGCGTTTATACAACATAGTCGTAATCATGAACTTTGAATGTAAATACAATTGAAAAGTAACCTAATTTTATTTTTTCCATAACAACTGTTAAAATTGCCTTATGTCTATCAAAAAGAGTAGATAAAATAGTACTTTAACCGCAAGGGTAGATTAAATGATACTTTAACAGCGAGGATAGGTTAAAAACTTTATTTCTTCTCGCACGTTTTTATTTTTGAAAATTTTTGTATTCCTTTTCATAAGTTATTCGGGATTTAAATGGAAGTAGTTTGGATATGGCGTTTGTCGCCTCAGCCTGAATATCTGTTGGTAATTTATGTATTTCGTTTTGAGCCATTTCTGGCTCCAATTCAATCAGCAATCGACACGAAAGAGAATTAGAAAATATTGACTCAAAACTGACAACTAAAGAGACAGCTTTATTTATTTGTCAAATTACATAGAAACCAACGCCAACCCAGCACAATATTTTTTCTACTCGTAATAAATTCCTTGAAATACTAATTTCTGAATATTTTTTAAAACGTAACTCGCTATGGGAAAAAATATTGTTTTATACACGACGATAAAATTGCATTATCGTCTCCCGAAATTAATTCACCATTAATTCACCAATTAATACCATTTTATCGTCTTGTATGAAAAATAACTATATTTTTCTATTTCATAATCATTTTAGAAGTGTATTTCTGTTTAAATTTTATTACTCAGATTTTTCAAAAACGAAAATTGTCTTAATTATTAAACATTAATATGAGAAAAATAAATAAATAATGTCCCCTAACCCTAAAAATGCACAGGCGATCTTCGATTTTTCTCGTAATCACAATCATAAAAGTTAAAATTTATGAACTTCAAGGTTATTAAGTTATGCTTATGATTACGACTGCGATGGTTAAAATAATGGTTTTAACTTTTATGATTGTGACTAAAATTGTGATTATAATCACAACTATGTTGTATAAACCCGCCAAAAGATTAAAAAGGCATAAAATTTACAAAAATATTCATAAAAAGTAGTCGATTTACTCAATACAAACACAGATATTTTATTTCGTTTCTTCATTAGCCCCTTTGCTTTTATCATTTATCAGAGCTCTAACATAATCATACTCTAACTCCCAGTGGATGACATACCAAGAACCAAGAATATACAACTTTGACTTTGAGAAACACCTCACTGTAAAATTGAGCAATAAAAAGAATTGAGAGAAACATTTGCTCAGCAGGTAAAAGACGATGATTTGACATGTGTTTTTTTTTAATTTAAATCTAATACGTCTAAATCAATGGATGCCGCTGTGGCCTGGGTATCCTATCTTGGTCCAGAGCCAGTACTGGGAATACCCAAATGTATGGCCCGTAGTGGATCCCAGACCTGGACACTGACAAAATCAAATATGGATAAGGTAACAAAATCTCAAAGATCTATGGAAAGACAAATGCTACATATAAGGCTGGCAGATAGAAAAAGGAATGAATGGATCAGAGGAAAAACTAAAGTAAGGGATGTTAGAAGTGAAGTAGCAAAATTGAAATGGAAGTTTGCCGGTCACAATGTCAGACAGATGATCGATGGAACAAATGCATCGTAAACTGGAGGCCCTGGGAGAATAGAAGAAGTAGAGGAAGATCCCAGATGAGATGGGCGGACGATTTGAAGAGTGGAAGAGATTGGGGGAGGCCTATGTCCAACGATGGACCGAAGAGGCTGAATAGATAGATAGATAGATGGCCCGTAGTGCACTAAAACTCTGGATCAGGGAAAAGCAGAATATCCATTGGAGAAACAGACAGGGGCACAGGCACAGCAAGGCTTTTATCCAAGGACCTAGCTCCAAAACCGCAAAAGAACTGCTAATGCGTAGCAGCAATAAAGTGCGGATTACAACAGGCCTCTTGACAGGACACATGGCTATCAATTATTACCTGAACAAGCTCAGCCTGTATCAAGAAAGTCTTTGCTGCAGACTCTGCGATAAAGATCCTGAAACAGCGGAGCACATAATATGTCATTGCGAGGCTCTGGATCGCAAGCGACACTTTTTATTTGGGAAAGCTAGGCTAGAACTGGAGGAACTATGCTCCCATCCTATCAAAGACCTGCATAAGTTAGTGCAGGGCACAGGGATAGGAGAATGGGTGCAGATATAGAAAGGGGACAAACACAATAGACCTCACAGGTCGTAGTGTTTCTGGCAGAGGACGGAAAAAAAATATGTGTAAATAAACTTACCGGATAAGGAATAGTCGTTATGTCTACTTTCTGAGTCACGAATCAAGAAGGCGCCGTGTTCATTTTCGGGAAGTAGGAGTTTCTTTTCGGCTTCTATGCGTTTTATCTTTCTGAAGTACCATCTGAAAGAAAAATCATAAAGTTAACACTACATAGGACTATCAAATTACAATGCAGTTTTTAAAATAATGCGTATCGACGACTCTTACAAAATAGACTACTATTTTGCAAGATATGAGACAAGAGATCGAAAAATTGACAGAAAAAAACAACTTTTCTTTGTGTGCGTGTGTGTGAATTAAAATTATTATTTTTTAATAAAACCTGTATATCTTAAAAGTGAATCTTTTTTAAGAATTTCTACCATTAGGCCAGTCGCCAAGTATTAAAAAATAGCTTATGGCGGGAGCAAATCCGGACAAGCTAAAATAAATTTTATTTTGTTTAGTGTAAGAAACCACGTCTTAAATTTGCACCACCCCCAAAGCTCGGTTTGACCGCCATCTTGGAAAAAGTGGCTAAAATTCGGTTTATTTTTCATTATTTGCCAATAACTCGATTTCTATCAACTTTAGTGCAAAAAATGTATAGACCAAAATTAAAGAAGAGGATAAACTCTATAAAAAACGTTCTATGTACTTTTTCCGTGCGACGACCCGTTTCCAAGTTATCTCAGTTTAAACACGCTAAATATATTATTATACAGACAAGGAAAAATGAAATTCGTATAAGTTTTACAGAAAAAAAAAGTAATTATTACAGACAGCTGCACAAACTTTCAAAGACCCAAACGCATCCCCAGAAGATATAAGCTGGAAGATATAGAAAAGGCGATTTCTTCTTCATTTATATGGATTCAAAAAATGCGACTCATGAGATAAGTACAGATACCAGTGCACTTTGTCAGGGCAAATCATGTTCGAATAGTTTGGAGGTGACAAAATTAGACGAAGATGAGTACGAGGACAATTTTCCTCTCGATAAAGATCAACGAAAAGAATATTCTGCACCTTATGAACCAGATCCGGGATATGATACAGATGTGGAAGACATCCAGGAAGATTATATTGAACAGCCAGTAACATCAAAAAAACGAAGGAACTTTGATGAACCTTCTACCTCAAAAGAAACCTAAGTTGACGACATGTGGATTAGACCTATTGGAAATGGAGAGACCACTAAAAAAAACGCGCCGGGTACTTTACCTCACGGAAGCTCCCTGAGAGATTATTATTATAGGAGGTTAAACTTGATTTTCCACCAGTCGCGCAACAGCAGGCTACTACCAACCAGTAGCAAACAAGTTTTTAGGTTTTATGTCTCGGGGGTGCCGCTCAAGCTGGTGTGGAAACAAGTACAGTTAACCCCGGATATATTGAATACGTACATTATATCAAACTTTAATTTTGTTTTCGTAAAATTCGATACTTTGGGTAGTCGCACGAAAAAAACCCATACAACGTTTTTTATAGAGTTTTACCTCTTCTTTAATTTTGATCTCTACATATTTTGCACTAAAATTGATAGAAATCGAGTTATTGACAAATAATGAAAAATATACCGAATTTTAGCCAATTTTTCCAAGATCGGGGCTTTTTCCGGGCTTTACGGGGAGTGCAAATTTAATACGTGCTTCTCGACACCAAACTAAACAAAATAAAACTTATTCCAGCTTGTCCGGATTTGCTCCCGCCATCGATGCACTTGCCGACTGGCCTACATACGTTTTAAAGAAGATAGAGAAAACAGTGTCTTTTCTATAACTGTCCCAGTAAATACCCTTTCTGTATGAGTACGTCTTCGGAAGACAAACAAAATATTTTGTATGTTATGCCGGGTCCAGACCAAGGCGACAAAAAGTAAACACGATTTTGAGACAAAAACAAGACAAAACTTGTCACAAAAAATGGAGACTTCTGACAAGACAAACTTGAAACAAATTGTCCACACCGCAATGACAAAAGTACAACAAAGTCAAAAGTTTAGCTGTTGCCTTTGAATAAGAAGACTAAGGAAGGAGCATATCAAAAATCTTAGGTACACAGCGATGGGCCTCAAATATGGCCGACTTAAATTCCGGTTTATCAGTGCCGTTCTAATTTTACATAAAAATCTTTTGAATTACATCAATTATTAGGTAATCCAAAAGATAAAACACCTCCACTGGAAAGATCGGGTATTTATGAAATTTCTTGTAAAGATTGTAATCAGAAATATGTTGGGCAAACTAGAAGATCAATATTAACTAGATTTAAAGAACATTTAGCTCAGATAAGATACGGTAGACCGGATAAATCTTGCGTTGCCGAACATATTGTTGATAATGAACATTGTATAGATCTTAATAATTTAAAATTAATTAAACAAGTCTCAAATTACAGGCAATGAGATGCATATGAAAGCATCAGAATTAATAAATGTAAAGATAGTATGAACAGAGTCAACGGTCCAATTCCTTCAAGTTCTTTGTTCCTACTACTCTAGTGGCGGAAATCTAACTGTTACGCTCAGTTGGCTCTGACTCGGTTGGCTAGATTTTGCCACGCCCACTCGTTGCCCACTGAGCGTGTATATAAACGCTCAACTTGTAGATTGTACTTTAGTTTATAATCATCTGCTGATGATGCTAACATGGTTAGCGAAACGCGCGTCCAGTGTAAAAGTAAAAGTGTTTTGGTGTATTGTGGTGATTTAGTGTTTTTAAATTCAAATGTGTCAAATGAATCGTCAAACAGAACTGTCAAGGATCCCCACCCTAGAGTGCTTTTATGGTGCTTTTTCCGCCCACCATGCATGAATACATGGATAGCATTATGCTCCTTCCTTAGTCGTCTTATTCAAAGGCTGTTGCGAATGAGTTTTATTAACCATGTTTGATTTCACTGGCCTCTTACTGTTGGCAGCACACGCCATCCACACTGCGCCGACAACTTGTCGCAAAATATACGAACAAAACATAGACACTTTGATCGTTACCGACTCGAGACGGGACATTGAAAAGTCTCCGAATTTTCAAACAAAACAAAAATGAGACAAAAATGTAGCAGAAATGTACTGGATTTGTCACAACTTTGTCGTAAAACATGAATGTTTTTGTCTTGTCACTGTTTTGTCTGCTTGGTCTGGACCCGGCATTAAAGTACTAAATATCTTCCAAAGAAAATTGCTGAAAAACCTCTATCCATATACCATTACGATCAAAAAAAGTAGTACAAGAATTAGTAGTCCCAGGTAGAACTCCTAGTCGATAAGGATATCGAGAAGTGGATATCGTCGTCACTATGAAAACAATTCAATTATGCCATCAAACTTTTTAGACGTTACCATGAATTTGGTAATAATTGGTAGGTATACGGTGGCGAAATAAAAGTATAAAAAATTTACCGACCTTTTAAAAATGGGCAATTTTTCAAGTTTTAAAAATATTTTATTATAGACAAGCAGATTAAATCATATTTTGTTGTACCTACTACTTTTTTTTATCGCAATGGTACAGGGTCAGGCAATAGTCTGTCGGGCATCTGTAGCTTCTAGAATAAAAACTTGAATAATTTGCTTATGTGCAAATCTAAAGTATGTACGAGGATATATTTCAGGAAAATATTTTGACTTCTATAGGGTGACTCAAAAAAGTGTGAGTGGATCGAAATGATTTTTTTTAAATAGAATTTATAAATATATCGACATATATTTACTCATATCTTAGGATTCTTAGATAATCCTAAGATATGTCGATAGTTCCAGAGATACTAATAAATAAATAAAAAATATAGATTTTTCAACCAACGAATTGACATAATTGGCTAAAATTTTTCTATCAAAAATTAGTTTTAGCATCAATACCAATCACTAATAATCCTCTAACACAGTATTGCCAATTATTTCAATCATTTTTGGTCGCTCTGTATATTATCGAGCAACCTTCTACTTTTTTGACACTTGTTATGCTTATGTTTTAAAGTTGGTAAATATACATTAAATCAATTACCAAAAATATTCAGTCCCTCTGCGTATGGAAATTGAATAACCAAATAGGCTGTTACCCTTTTACATACTAAAAAGAGCAGTTTTGTAACAAAGATTAATGTATGGAACCTTGTGAAAAAGGCAAAAATTGTTTCGACATTATGTTGCCATTGATGAATTCCAGTAGGTATTTGAATAATTAATATTGATAAGGTGTTGCGATTGTTGGCAACGTTCATTCAAACTCTGATTCAATGAGTTAAGAACTAAGAATAGTAAAAAGTAGTGTTTGAATTAAAATTAATAAAAATATGTTCTATACAAAGTGTCTCAATATTTTAGCAAACGATTTGAATTACACGTTCATTTACAGCACGATTTAAATCTTGATTTAAATCAAGTTGATTAAATTCTTGCATCCTGCCGTAGACTTCTGGACTAAGACACAAACACACATACAGAAAACTTACTTTTCAACTTTTAAATCCAAATATTTTCGGTATTTTTTACAATAATCGCAATCCGGATTGAAGAAACATCTTTCTGTTACATGGAACTTCATATGGACAGAATTTTCGAAAAAGCTTCATAATAAATCACTTTAAAAATAAAATCAATAACATAAAAAACACGGTTTCACACCCAGGAATAAATAGATTTGAACTAAACTTAGAATTAGAAAGAAATTAATAAAAAAATTAAAATAAATAATTTTAAAAGAAAAAAACACTTCACAAGATTGAACAGCGATGAATAAATTTCAACTGAACGACCGGATATCTAATTTAGATTAATAAAAATAATAGAAATAAAATAATTGCTAATTGTAAATAATACTTTGTTGGTATCTTAAAGGAGCCGCCTCCTCTTAGCTTTGTTTTTTTCGCTTGTCAATCAGAGCGGTTGACAGGTGAGCGTTTCTACGAAAGTGGATTAATTAAAAATAAAAGAGCGATAATCAGCGCGAGATGAGATTTTTCTGAGACTTTAGATAACAACCGATTAAAATTATCAGTAAAATTGGTTATTAATATTGTAATTATTATTTTTTTCGCGCAAAATTTGATTTTCTTTGCTCTAAAGTCACGTCTACATATAACGTTTTACATGCCAGGAAAGACGGATTAAAAACTAGTGTATATGTGGGAGGCAGATG